TACTATTACATTTTGTCAAACATATAGTTTCATTTAAAATAGTTCATCTCCATTTTGAATTTGTTACCATATACACAAAACTATTGAATACTGTTTTTGTTACAGTGTATTTGTTACACTGTCTTTGTTGCAGTGTTTTTGTTACACTGTTATTGTTTTACTATTATATTATTTGAATATTAAATTAATTTAAAAATAAAGCTATTTTTCAAAAAAAAACTCTTGAATCAAGATGCATTAAATATAATTTGAAAACAAAATCACTTTTTAAAAAAAAAAAATACGCATGAATCAAGGTGCATTAAAAATAATTCAAAATTTAAATAAAATATTTAACAACATATATATATGTGTGTGTGTGTGTGTGTATAAATAAGTATATATATTCGTATATATGTGTATATAAACAAGTATACACACACACACACACACATATATATATATATTTACATGTATTAATAAATACACATGAATTAAATGTGCATTAAATACGTATTTATATGTACTAATAAACACACATGAATCAAAGTGCATTAAAAATAAGAGATTTTGAATTAAATGACCTTAAAATGAGCATTTATGTGTTTTTAATTTATATTTTATTCTATGTACTTTTTGTCAAATTAATTTAATTAAGTATACCGACTTCCAAAGAACCCTTGTTAAAAACGTTGAAACGACGTCTCGAGCAAGTCCTTGTACATAACATCCTATATGGTCAATTGAAGTAAACAAAAATGTTGCATCTTTTAAGAGATGATAACGCTATGATACCAACAAAATTTTTTAATAACTTACTTAAATGTTATTATTTTTTAGAGTAATGTTAAACTGATTAAATTTTGGGACTAAATTTAGAATTTAAATGACATGATAACATATTATTTAAAAATTTTATTAAGACCCAAATGACATGGCACCAAAAAAATAAACTTAAGTCAGATACCATGTCATTTAGACTCCAAATTTAATTCTAAAATTTGATCAGCATTACTATATTTTTTAATAGCCAAGTTATACTTTTTAAAAGTGCATGACTGCTAAAAAAGATTGTCGTTCCGTATGATACTCTCATTATTGTGAGAAAATATTCGTTATGACGGTGATATCACATCACATTCTATTAATAATATTAAAACAAACAAATAAATAAATCTCATAAAAATTAATAATGAACTTGTCATGTATGCAAATAACTCTTTACTCTTTCTCCAGTTAAACCCAAGTGGAATTTACCTTACTCACTTATGTCGTCAATAGTGACATAATGTAACAGTTACATTCATTTATTTACTCTAGTATTGTATAGCCTTACTCTAAGATATAATGTAGACAAGAGGTGTAAAAATTGAATTTTTAATGCTAAATCACTACAAGATTGACGTAGTTTTTTTTTTTTATTGAATTGGGAATGTTGTAGTTTTTTTTTTTTTT